ATGTTAATTGCTGAATAGGGTTATAGAAAGTGCAACACAGCTCTTGTAGAGCAGAGTGCATGGGATAAATCTGCAGAAGGCCTGGAAGCCTTGGGTATGGAGAAATGCTGGTTTGGTGACTGTATTCAACCCCTTTTATTTATGGTAGCGCTAAATGTACAGTGCAAATATCATGCTTAAAAGGGAAAGTTGCAGCTTCATAAGAAACAGAATAAGGCTGGCCATTTCAGGGTGTACTTGGTCTTAGACATGAATTATAGGGGTTTCAAGTGTAAGTAATAGGGTTATCAGAATCAATTTGAGCCAAAACATGCAGACATATTTCAGTGGTGGCATAACCATAGTGGTGAAGTATCTAGAAGAATGTCATAAGTCTTTCATTCTCAGCAGATCAGGCCTGACAGGGAAGCTGGAATTCCTTATGGTATCCCGACCTGGATGATTAAGGAATAGGGAACAGAAGGAATATTTTTATACAGCAGTGTGTCAGACATCTTTTGCATGCTATAGGAAATTGGGCTTAAATATCTCTTTTAGGAATCCTGTTGCAATTATGTAATAAGAAAGAATTAATAGTGCACACTGAAGTGTGTTTCTTTTTTTATTTGTAGTCAAAATTACTTTCTTCCTTCAACAGAATGGAATCCATTTTGAGGAAATAGCTGGAGGAAATACAGATATGATTTAAGAGCACAATTTCAAAGCCAAATAGATTGGTTTCATTTGCTAATTAAGAAAATAGATGCATGTTTAATAGGCATGTGGCCACATCAATGACCATCATTTATGACAATGAACAGTTGGAATGAGCTTCATGTGGTTCCTATTGTATGTAGCATAAAAAGATTCCACCTCTGTGCTCTGTGTTCTTGATCATATCTAATCCATTATGCCATAGGGGGAAGGTGAGGGTTTGGTCTCTGTCCCCAGAGACAAAGACAAACATGCATATCCTATTCACCAAGGCCAAACATCTAACCTCTAACTGGATCCCTTTTTTGGATAGTATCCTCATTTAGATTTTTCAAGGGATGTAACTATTTATCATCATCACAGGGGTCTATAAAAGGACAAAGCATCTTATGTTTAGTACTGAAGTTCCAGGAGACCATGGATAGCAGTCAATATTTTTTCTATCTGGTCTTGTCCTGGTCTACCTATTTTTTCTATGTCTGCCATCTGGTTCCTTGATTTACAGAGTATCCTCTTTATAGACTCTGGGCTGAAGTAAGGGCAGCATGGATAGCAGCCATGAATTATTCTGGTTTACTGAGGCTAGAAACAGATGTTGCCTTTGGGTCTCTATAAAAATGTTTATGGCAGCACAAAAGCCAAGCAAATAGACTTCCTTGCCTTTTGTTGAACCACAAATGCCCCAAACTGTGGCTGCAACAATGGGTGGTATAAATTTGTGCCCCCTTTTTTCAGCAGACATCTATTTACTTTATGGCAGAACAGGGACAGTGCAAAGCTGCCCACACTCCCCAGCCACTGCAGGCAAACACTTAAGGGGCCTGTCCTGTGTATCCCAGGAATTGCCATTCCTGGGACACACAGGATCAGGTTAACCTGGGTTCTCCCATTAGCAGACACACCCCAGGTAGAGGATTTCAGGGGAACCCTGGGGTTTCCCCATTTGCAGAGGTGCATCCCAATTTGGGGGATGTCAGTGTGATACGCATGTCCAAGGAATCCATTCTGCACGATTCCTGGGGTATGCATCTGCAAACAGGTGGACCTAGACTTGAACTTCCCTGCCCAGGGATTCCTGAGGTGTACATTCCCAGGTTTCCCCCATTTGCAGTTTTCCTGCTGGACACATGCTGTCATAGCTAATGCCACAACAACCTTCTGTTTTCAGCCTGAGAAGTCTGCTTCATTCTAAAACCTGTAAGGATCATATGTATACAAGACTTCTTTCTGGGCGCTAGAAGTGCGACTGATTCCTTGACACCATTTTATGATTTGAATCGATGAGCAGTTGTCACATTCACTCAACAAAAATGTATGAAGTTTTTGACATCAATTGTATCTACTGTAATATTTGTTGTGCATGTGTTTGTTAGGCATTCTCTGTTTGACGTTCCACAGGCAAGAGAAGTTGGGATGTCAGCAAAGCGAGAGCTCCGAACATTTTGGCCATTTCAGCACTATCGGGGATATCTGCATGCATATGCAGAGGAATAAATGTAGGTGCCTAGGGACTTTGCTGGTTGGAACTTAGGAGCCTAGCGTTTTAGGTACAGGGTAGGTGGCAGCTAATCTATACTGTTTGCATGAAATTCTTCTAAACAACATTCTGTTTTGTGTCTGCATTAACAAGAAAGCCTAATGTGTGCCGAATGCGTCTCAAAGATGTGATTTCAGACATATCAGCTTTTGAGAATACTAATTTTCTTTAAATAATGTTTCACTTATGAAGCTGTCTTCCTTCACAGTTTGGAGAGTATATTGGATCACAGCAGGAAGTGCATTTGACACTAATATTCAATGGCACTCATGTCTTTTTGCATCAGGAAGTCATTCATCAAAAATAAGTGCCATCATGGGTACAAGCTTATTGCATCCTCTTGATTTCAAATTTTCATTCCATTTTGTTGCAAGCTGCAAAATGCATGGAAGAGTAGTATACTTCTGGTTACATTATACTCCATTTCCCTTGGACTGGCTTAAGGGCCAACTTCTGCATGTGATGAAGTCATTAGCAACCTCCCACTGACTTTATTAAATCAAAATAGGGTTTTTAAAGAAGTCATTCTCCAAAGGATTCGTAACAGTTTCTGTCTGAGCTGTAGTAGAATGGCTATTAATACAGGCATTGAATGTCTCAGAGAGCTTTAGGATGTTGATAAGAATAGATTTTGCAACTAGCCTAGCTCTCTGTGGTGGTGGTGTTCTGTAGTTTGCATAATCCCTGTAAACTACAGACACAATTTTTATTCAGGGATTTGTTTGAAGACGGGCTGCCAGAGGTATTAGAAACCTTCAAAAGCCTATAGAACTTATATTCTGTTTATGGAGGAAGTTCCATGTACTGGCATATAGAGGACATCTTTAGACTTGAGTTCTGTACTATGCTAAGATTATGAAACCCTTCTGTGACCCCTATCCTCCCCTACTGTGTAGTGGAAATGCATCAGTTCTACTATCAGGGAAACCTCCACCCCTGCAGAAGTAGAGGTTGAATTCAGATCTAAATGTATATTACACAGAGTTACTTGTTTGCTAATATTGCAGACAGGATTACATTTAATAAATTGGAGTGCCCTTAAAATGTAGAATAATGTTTTTAATTTGAATGCAGCAGTTGAAAGCAATATGCAGACACACCATGCTCTTAATACATTATTAGCAATCCTGAAAAGGGTTACAGTCTAACTGAATACGTTTTTTACATTTCCAACTATCAGGTAAATTTGCATAATTTTACATAAACAAGCATTTATTTGCAGGTTGTAGGCACCATGCATATGAAAAGTGTGAATAGGTCTTGTAAATTAATTGGGAAATGCCACCCTGAGAAGAACTGGCTTAATGTGTTTTCCAAACATTCAGCTTTTAAAGTACAGGTCTTTTTATTTATTTGTTTGTTTAATTTGGATAATGTAAAATAACATGCTATGGCCACTCTTGTTCCAGAAAAGAAAGCAATATCTCCACTATACCCAAGAGAAAAATGTTAGTTTTATTGCTCTCTAAGTAGGATCTTCTGTAAGCTTTTAGTTCTAGGAGGGAAAGATTGATCATAATAATTCTAATTGAACATATATTGTAAGTTTCATCTCTGTTAATACCACACCATCCAGACTGGTGGGAGTCCTCATCTCTGACTGGGACAACTTTGTGCTACCTCAGTACAAATTGCTTGTACATCAGACCACAGCCTTCACAAATTGCAAAATCTTATATGGTTACAACCATTTTTTACAAAAGTCTATTTCAGGTCTGTTTTCTGTGTTTAGCTAGGAGAAGAGACGAGTGAATCTTCCCTTCAGTTTCTGAGCATGCAGAATTGTTGAAACTGAAGCCCAGCACTTTACTTTCATTGCCCAAGGTAACAGAAAGGAAACGTTTTATGAATGCAGAGCAGAAGTCTTGAAAACCTTAGTTCTTTTAGTAGTGGTATTAATCTAACATGTTACTGGTAACTCAGGGGGAAAATGGGTTTGTTGTGCTATCTTTTTATGGCTTTAAAATGACTGAACTCTGAAGTAGGGGTCTATATTGAGAATGACCTCAGATTTAAGTCTTTGTAAGAAAGAAAAATCCTTTGTGTGAAAGCATATGGATTAGACCCTAGATGAAGAAACTGCACAACAAAGTAACCCTTGATGGGAGCAAAACCCATGGGAATACAGACTAATCGCTGTGTTGAAACCTTCCCCTCAACCAACAGGTGGCTCTGAGCACACACCCAATTCCTTGCACAGGTCTGCGTGCTCTCTCTGAGCTGGGCAAGCTCTCCCACTGTTGGAGTGGGGGAAGGCAGTGGCACTTCACAGGCACTTTACTGGGCATGTTCAGGTTTTGTGTTTAAAAGAAAGAAGCTGAACTGACTCCAGACTTTGTTTCCAAAATGAAACACTGCCTTTGAAGTGAGGTGACCTCCTGTTAGGATTGTAGCTGACACTCAGGTTGGGGCTTGGACCAGATGAAGTGCCTTCCAGCCCTGCTTCTCTCTGCCTCTACACAATCCCAAACCAGACTGAGTCCAGAGTGAGCAGGGACTATACCTAATAGTCCTTGGCCGCCTTTCAGTGGGGGAAGTGAGCGGTTTTAAGAACTCCTGTTCCCACCCAGTCTTGTCATGGATGAAACCTGAGTGCTGCTCACAATGAACCCGCTTCTCACTCTGCAGTGTGGACTCCTTTTCAGTGGTGTGGGACTGATAAATAGGGGAGTTGCAAGTGCTGCACCTCTAAACGCGGCAGGCTTAAGATTTGGCTGAGCGAGGCATCCCCCTCCCCCTCCCTCTCTCTCCCCTGCAGCACAGATGACAAAAGCATTTGGGCTTTGCTTCCCTCAGCAAACTCTAGGAGTTGGACTCCCCACCATGCAGAAGGGAAACCCTCCCTCATGCTGCAGGGCTGAGTGGAGTCATTGCTGGGCCAGTGCTTGGCAGCCTGCCCACAGCCCTGCGGTGGCTGTTCGAGACCAGCCAGGGGAGCACTGGCATGGAGTGAAGGGGTGATGGTGGGGATAGGGATTTGGGGCATGCTATGAGGATGCCCCACAGTCCAGCAGCTTGCGGAAACTCTTCCGGAAACTGTCATCCAGGAAGGCATAGAGAAAGGGATTGAGGCAGCTGTTGGCATAGCTGAGGCTGGGGATGAAGTAGGGGAAGCCAATGACCAGCGGCGTCTGTGGGATGTCAGTAGTGAGTGCCACCACAGTGCTGAGGTGGTAGGGGGTCCAGCAGAAGAGGCAAACAGCCAGGATGACCAGTACCATCAGTGTCACTCGCTTCTTGGCCTTGTCCAGGGCCTTGGCGTGGCTGTGCAGGTGCAGGCGGCGCAGGCGGAAGAGCATGGCTGAGTAGAGGACGCAGGTGGTGGAGACTGGGATGGCGAAGCCCAGCAGGAGGGTGTAGATGCGGCTCGCCTTCCACCACAAGCTCTCCGGCTGCGGGAACACAAAGACGCACTGCGGGCGGCCCTGCTCTGTGTGGATCTTGGCAAACACAGCAAAGGGCAGGATGATGAGTGTAACCAAGGCCCAGACTCCCAGGCTCACAATCTTGGCTGCACGGTAGGTGCGATAGGCCACCTGTCTGGACTTGATGGTAGCCACCACTACCAGGTAGCGGTCAATGCTCATGATGGTCAGGAAGTAAATGCTGGAGAAGGTGTTGTACTGGTCGATCGAGATGATCAACTTGCACATGAACTCACCGAAGGGCCACTGCAGCAGCAGGTAGTCTGCGATGTTGATGGGCAGCACCAGGGTGAAGAGCTCATCGGCGATGGCCAGGTTCAGGATGAAGATGTTGGTCACTGTCTTCATCTTGGGGGCTTTGAGGATCACATAGATGACTGCTGTGTTCCCTGTGAGCCCCACAGCACAGATCACTGAGTAGATGATGGGCACCACGATGTAGAAGTTGGGGATGGGTAGGGTGTCTGACACATTCAACCCACTCCAGAACTTCCCCTGGCAGCCTGCTGCCTCGCCTGCACCCACGCAGGATGAGTTGAGCTCTGAGAGGGAGGAAAGGTTCTCCATGGATCCAGGTGTTGGGGCACCGTCTCAGATCTGCCCCCGATTGCGCTCAGCCCAGAGAGAGGCTATGTTCCAGTCACACTGAAGCCACCTCCCAGGCTCCCCTTCTGCTGGGATGCACTGGCTGCTTCTTGGCTCAGCTTCTTGCTGGCAGCCTTGGCGCTCAATCTGGCACGCTGCCCTATGCAGCCCTCGCCTTCCACTCCCTGCAGGTCCTGGCAATGCAAACAGGTCACAAAGGCAGTGAGGTTTGGGCTGCTTCACAGAGGGGCACCCCACAGTGACAGGAACTGCTGCACTGTGTGTATCAGTCAGGTAATCACACACTACACGCGTGTGCACACACACACACACACACACACACACGATCAATTTCACCTAGGCAGGTGCCTGTGGCACAAGAAGGAATCTTTGAGCAAAGCCACCGAATGCATTTAAACTCCTTCTAAGGAGAGAAGAAAGAAAACCCAAGCAGCTCAGCAGACTTCAGGGGGGCTTGTCAACTCCTGTGTCAGGGTCGATGGTAGTTTTTTCTTTTCTTTTCTCCCCCCCCCCCCCCAGTAGATTATGGATTTCATAGAAACATGCAGAAGCAGGGCTGGACGGGACCTCCAGAGATCAACCTAGTCCCTGCCTAAGGGAGGATCATCCCTACCCCTACTCTTATCCCTTACCCGCTCTCCCCTACCCATCATCCCACCCGCTCCTCTAAACTCTACATCGGACTACCGTCAACCCTGTATGGGATGGTTTGGCTGGGGCTGATGCTGCTTCGGGCAGGGCGGTTACACGAGGTGACCCCGGGGTCCCTCTCCAGCCCCGCTTCTGCCCAACTCCGGGACCGTCCGTCTCCCGGGGCCGGGGCGGAGGAGCGGCAGCCCGGGGCTGTGTGCACGGCTCCGCTGCGGCCGGATCCCCCCGCTCTCTGCCGGCTGGGCGCAGAGCGACCTCAGCGCCCCGCTACCGCGTCCACCCGAGCCATGAGAGGCTCCCGGGTCTTGCCGAGGAGCTGCTCTTGAGCGCGCAGACAAGCAAGCCCTTCTGCCCCCTTTCCATAGCCCAGAGCAGTCTGCTCTGATCGCCGGCTTTCAAGGGCTGCCGGCCAGCTCAGCCCTCCAGGGAAGGCTTTCTGCACGCTCTCCTTGCCTCCAGCTCCGCATGTGCTCGGCGGCTCCTCGGCTTTACATCGCGGACGGCTTGATTCGGGGGAGGACTGCACAGTCCGCCACGGTGGCAGATGGGGAAAGCTGCAGGAGGCACTTCAGCCTGAAAAGCAGGCAGCCCATTGCCTCTGCCGGTCACGTCTCGTCAGACCTCGAGCTCCTGGGAAGAAGCTTGCTCTGCCTGCCAGCGGGGACTCGTTCACCTCGGTCCTCTAGGGGCCAGTGTAATACAATAGATTACGCGGATGCAATGGCAAATCCCTTGCTCTGAACACCCGGAAAGCTTGGGGTGGTTGAACTCCGATCTTAGAGGCAAATGAGCACTAGGTTTTCAATCGGGGCATCTTTGCAGGGTTTCAGAAACAGGATCCTTTCAGTCTTCAAGCCCTGTGACAGTTGGGGGGGGGAGCAATAAAAACAAATATTGTTTGTTGTATTCCCTTTTCCCATACCGCTTAAAATTTGGGCTATATTCAGGGTTGTAGGAAGAGCACATACCAACTGCAGAGACTTCCTCAGCCTGACCAAGGGTTTTTAAACCCGAAAGCTTGCCAAAAAAATGTTTTCCAACTATTTAAGTTGGTCTAATAAAAGATATCAGATTCACCCAAAGAACCTTACCGGGCTATATTCAGTGTGCCCAGACTGGCACCAGTTGCTATTTCACATTTAGAAGCAATTATGTTTTCTAATTCAATGTGTCAGTCACACCCTGCCCAGAGCTGCCTGCATGTGTGTTGCTTTCTTTGAGGTTTAGCTTTGCTCTACTACTTTGCAATCTTCTACTACTCTGTAATACTTTGTAATCATCAAAAGTTTACACATTCGCATAATCAAGTTTAGTGGCTTTACAATTCTTCATTAACTGTTTGTTTTTTCAGGCAGATTTCCAAACTGGAGCAGTCTGTGCACACAGCTAAAATGCACAGGTAGCCTGAATGGGTAGGTAAGTTTGAGTAAATGCTCACCTCAGTATTTTTTTCTGTATGCAATATACCAAGGGGTGTTCCCAAGCAAGACCCACCACCATTCTCAGCACATCCCATTAGTATCTGAGGCTTCCATGTCAGATGAGGCCTCAAATTGTATGATGATTACAAAGTGTTTAGAGCAAAGTTGAACCTCAAAGAAAGCAACACATAAACTAATAAACAGACCACAGGGTCATAACAGTACATCTGTATTTTAATTATCATTATTGTATGTATTACAGTAGCAGATGGAGAACCAAATTAAGATCAAAGTCCTAGTGTACCAATGGATAATAATAAAAGAGAATCTTTATTGTGAATAATGTCTTATAAACAGGAAAAACAAATAGGTGTTCTAAGAAACTGAGGTAAAGAGACAGGTTAAGTGACTTACCTGAGGAAAGATTGGAGTGATGTTGTAGCCATGATGGTTCAGGATTTATGAGCGGGGCAAGGATTATTGGAGCAACAGTATGTTGGGATAGACAGTATTTTGAATGCAAGGCATTCTTCATCAGATCTCATCTGACCTGAGCTGACCTGATGAAGAATACTTTCCATTTGAAAGCTTGTCTAACTTTATCCCAACCACACAGTTAGTCTAATAAAGATATAATCCACAAAAAAAAGTATTTCCTGATTAAAAGAACTTGCATAAACTGAATCCTAATCTATTACCCTATCTAATGTAACCTGATGCTTCATATCTAATAGTAACTCTGGATGGCATGTGATTGCTATGCTGAATTAGAAAACATAACTGCTTCTAAATACCATGACCAAAATAGAGTTAGACATGATCTGTGTGCAGTGATAATATAGGTTTTACCATCACAAATCATTTTACATAGATATCCAAATGTATGTGCTATGTTAGGATGAAAAACAAGAACCTTGAACTCTTTAGCATCTGCTTTACCTTTCCTTTCTTTTTCTTTCCTGGAAGAGGAATCCTGAATCACCACACGTTGCCTTAGGTAAATGTTCCATTTTGAGTAGTAAGTGTAGTAAAAGAGAACAAATTTGATAACACCTTGCCTCTCCAAATTAGATGTCAGGATGTTGCCTTATGTCCCATCACCAAACCTATTGGCTTTGTTACATGAAAATGCTAGTTACCAACATATGCACATATGCTGATTTGATAAAATATATCCTGTCACTGCCCTTTCTAGATTGATGCCTAGAGATATTTTGAACACAGATTGTTTGACATTAATTCTTCCACACACTGCCAAATGATGAGGCCAGAGTATGAGTGTATTACAAGTGCAAAATGAAACCTGTGACATCATGAGAAAACAGTCTCTTATTTCATTGTGCTTATCGTTTAATGTTCTTTCCAAATACAGTATCTAATGCCACGCAGACTACATCATATGCTGTAAATGAACTTGCTTTATAGGCTTTTATTGAGACTGAATTATTACACCAAGTTTGAAGAAAATGTGTACCCTGAGATGCATAGTGACACTTGCATGTCACTACTCAGGGTATGGACAAATATTTCGAGTGGTTTCAAAAGGAGAGGGGGAGCTATTGTTCTAGATGGCACAGCAGCTATTACTCTGCAACTGTTACCTGTGGAGGAGGTTGTAGTGATACAAATATATAAAAAACAGTCCAACATTAACCCTGCTTCATCCAGGGTCAGAGGTAGGGTGGTTTAGCTCTCTTGTTTGCTACAGGGTGGGACATATGTAACAGTTACAGTATAACAACTGCTGCACTCACTCACCCTTCCCATTTGGAGCCACTTCATGAACAATATATCCTCACTGTGTTTCTTATGACACTGGTAAAAAAAAATGTCTGCATGTTGTTGCTGCCCAATGTCTGTCAGTTTTTGTCATAATATGGTTTGAATAGACAGACCCAGGCTGGCTGACAGAAGGAATAATTGTAAGAGTATACAGATCTAAAGCGTTCCTAAATGATGCATCTTTTATACTTACATGGATGCACTGTTGTGATTAGGTAACACCCATTTTGTTACACAGCTGCACTCCCTGATCATGCATTTTAAATGATCAGGATACTATCAGAACCCAGTCTTCTCCTTTTCCTGCCTAACTGAAAGCTGAAACCCAAGCTCAAGCTCAAGATCTCCAATTTCGAAAAGAGCTCAAAAAAGTTGGCAAGGCTGTAAAATAGGAGGAGAGAGACCTGGGGTATGTAAAAGATGGCAAAAGTACAGGAGAAAAAGTTCATTTGATTAGAGGAAGACCAAGACCTTTAATAAGGTGAGACAATCACTTACACCTGTGGAGTGAAGAACAATGACTCACTGAGTAAATTGACTCCATGCTCCTCCAATCCAACTGATTCCAATTGATTCCATGCTCCAGACTCCAGAATAGGCATGCTACTGATGCAGCAATCAAAATGAGGCACTTCTAGGCAGAAAAAAATCAGTTCCCCACTTAAGAAACACATCCCACTTTTGGGGAGCTGTTTTTTGGGGAAGAGGTGCATGTGGTCTTTGAGTAAATATAATAATTAAATTAGAATGTGAGCCTATAATACAATCTTTAAGGGTGTACAGCACTGACTTCTCTAGGTTTTTGCTAAGATCTTCATGTAGGAACAATCCATAGAATGCACTAGTAGTAACCAGGCAAATATTGTGGCTAAATAAATGGCAGTAACCTGTTAATACCCATTAATTTGTTTGTTTAGCTGCTGCATATTTAATTTAATGATGACCAGAACACAGAACACAGACAAAAAATCTAAACAAAACAAACAAACAAACGAGCAAAGGAAAAATACATATTGAATAAGGGAACTATATTTTTTAAACTGCATTATTCAGATCTGAGACTTAAAGATGATACTCCATTAGAGCAATATACAGAGAATCAATTTCCTTTGAGTGAGCTGTGTTCATGTAGTAAAATATGCAGGGGTGAAAAAATAATTCAATAAAGCTGCTGAAACCTGATGATTAGAGGAAGATTACACTACATAGGCTGATCATTGTGAACGTGGTCACAAAAATGAGGCTGTTGTTTTAATTGGCCTGCTTTCTGGCTGATTAGATGGATTTCATGATT